CTTAAGTTGCAGTCCATTTGGCCTCTCAGGGCCACCGTAAATAAACCATATTTTAAAGCTGCTTCAGAGTGTGAGTGGGATAATAGTGACGTACTGTGTCCACTGATACCTGTACAAGCTCGTGAAAGTCCGACTCGGTGACGCAGTAGTTTTTCATGAGGAATTCTTTCTTGGTTGCAAGCAGCTTTTCATGTGCCAAGGTCTCTGTGGGCTTTTCCAGGGTGACAAAAACAAATGCTCCCATCACCAGGTACAACATGACTCCCACCAGCAGGGTGGTGAGGGTAGTGCACCGCATTTTCTCCCCGCCTTTCTCCCTGCCCCTCCAGGGTTAAAGGGTCTCAGCTCACAGGTCCAGATCTGGTTGGGATCTCAGTCAGGATACAACTGGCCATAAACAGGAAGTTCCTTTAGAGAGGTGCTACATATGCAAGCACGGAAATATCTTTTATAAAAAATAAAAATAAAAAGCACCACAAGTGTTCTTGGAAGACATCTGTGCATCAGGCCCAAACCTGAGAGTCACTGACACCAAACGTGACAAACTACTAACATGGTGGAAAATAATGACAAGCACTTTAATTTAGTGAGACTTTCATGGCTTGATTTGTATGACTGTTATTAGACAGGTGATTGAGTGAATCCAGGTTGTTGGCACACAGTGTGGATGTTTCAGAGCTGTTGCACAAAACGTTTTCTGCATTAAAGGTCCTTAAGTCACACTGCATGTACACTGAGCGACTCGCTGGTCTTTTAATTAACATTCAACTAGTCCAGATTGTCCAAAAGCAGAGCTGTCACTGATGCGATAGCTATTGTAAGAGGTATACGTGACAAACAAGCCGTCCTCTTTCAAGTTTACAGTGTTATAAGACTTCAGATGTTCGTGTCGGTGGGTACTTCCCAACGTTATACAAGATTTTATCACAAAATTGTTCTTTAAAAGCTTTTTGCATGAAACAGACTGGATTTTTTTTTTTTTGCCCTCGTTTCTCAAGCCCTCAGGTAAGATTAAAAGGTGAGGCACAAAAGAGCATTCATGATGTTGCACTTTGAGAAATAGCATGCAATCTGTTACAAGGCCAGCTGATGAAAATGACACACCATAGACCAACATTTACTTGCCAATTGATTCTGGATTTTTTTTTTTCCCAGCATACATGTAAAAAGTAAATGAGATAAATATAAATATAAGCCCTAATTTCAAGTCACAGCTGTTTCCTCAGGTTACACTGAGGAAAGATGGCAGGTAAAATCAGTAGACTGACAACTTTGCTTAGACAAAGATCATTTCCACTGACGCAGTGTGAGATGTTACTGACGTTGGGACTTGTTTAACTTGGAGTGTGACAAGAGACACTCCTAAAAACAAACCATATCTTAAACCCAAATCGAGATGTGGTTCTTTGAAATGGAAAAAAGGTGCTGCGCTTTAAGAAATGCATCCAGCGTGATCATAGTCTAATACAGCAACAGCGATAGTCCTATTGAAAGGAGCTATTCAAAATGCTTTCTGTAGTCTCCATGATAATGAATGTTTTATAATTGAGAAAAATAACAAAGACAGTACCTTAACTCACTGGAGTCAGGAGCTCATCCCATGTTAAAACTCTAGAAATCAGCTGATAGAGAAATATCGAAACTCCTTCTTTTTCTTCCTCTTCTGCTCGCTCTGCGACGCCTCCAACGTCAGGGTTCAGGAACGGATGATTGCGTGTCCATTTCCTTCCCCTTCAAGCCATTTGAACACTTTCAGGTGCACAGAAGTACAGACTAGTTCAGGTCAAAAACAATCAAGTATCTAAAGTGTAAATCTATCAGAGTAGTTCCAAACTGGCGTATCTCCTCAATTCTTTTTCAGCAGGGTATGGGTGGCATTAAATAAATGTTCTCATTGCAGGGTGTTTGTCATAATATCTGGAAAAAACTGACACACACCAGGCCACCCTGCCAGTGGGTGCACAAATGATTACACTTTGCCAGAACTCCAAACATACATCTTGACATTAATCGAAAACATGGTTAGGTCTTATCTTCATTTGGCTACTTTGAACCGTGTTTACCTTTGAGTCGGATACCCAGAAAAACAGGACTGGGATTTAGGAGCTTCATGCTTTGGGTCGACTGGCCCCGGTCGTCTCCACGTGGACCTTGACAGTGTTCTGAGATTTCCCAGAGTTTGGCCAACTGTTAGCATTCTGCGCTAATGGACTGCTGGCTTTGGTTTGTGTGGACAGTCTAAATCTCTGTCCCTGGCGTCAGCACTGGCAGATTATTAGTTATCACAGTCTAAACCTACACAGGCATATTTTTATATTTTGCTAAGATGTGAAGTGAGGGCGACGGAGAAAGAGACTGCATGCGTCTGACAGACTGTGATCTAATCCCAAATTAAACAATGCTGCAGGTGGGGTAATAAATCATACACAGAGCTGTTTGGAAAGAGGCACAAAGCTGGAACAAGATGTGTACATGCTGTTCTTCGGTTTGCATGTAAGGCAGGTGTATAAAAGAAATCCAACCCAGGAATGTCAAACTTACTTCACATCATTGGCCACATACAGCTCACTTTGATGTGAAGTGGGTTGAACCACTTAAACTACATGGTAAACATGTAAAGTTATAGAAAAGGTTTTGCTGCTTAATTAATAAAAGGTTTTCATGAATTAATTTCCTTGTACTTTGGTGTTGTATGGATGGCAATGCGGGGTCTTAAGCAATAGGAAAAGCTGTAAAACTTAAAATATAGTTAAAAAGTTCAAAATCCATGCACTCCACATTTTCTAAGCTGTCCAGTATTGGAGTCTTTGCCAGGTTGATTTATTTGACATTATGTTTGACACCCCTAGTCTAACCAAACAGGGTTAAACTAAAGTACTGGTCCTCAAACTCTACTCAAAAATGCTGTCTCTCACCAACAATAAAAATAATCCAAATACTTCCAATTTAAAAATGCTGTTATAGCATGACCTTGCCCACTACTGAGCCCACAGGTTCACAGCTTTAAGAAACAAGGCACTACAGAATGTGATTGGTCATGACTTCGGCTTTGACTTCGACTTCTGCAGATCCTCTTTTTACAGCTACAAATTCTCGCTTTATATCTTTCTCCACTCAAACACATTTAGTTAACTTTGGAGGTTTGAGCTCCAGTTTGCAGGATAATCTACGTGCATCTTTTTCTGTGTGCTCCACCTGAATCTCAGTTTAACACATGTACACATAGCAAGGATTTTGAGAGTTTAGAAAACAGGGTGCAGTATGAAACTTACAAATCCAAGATGTAAACTAGAAACTTTTAGTGAAGCTGGAGACCTCTGTCACACTATAAAATGAACAACACTTTGCACCGTAAAAATATTCAAGTATAAATTCTCATCATCAAGTAGTTCATAAAGAAACCTCTTACTGGAGTTTCTGAGACTAAGTATTAATAGTCCTAAAATAAGTCTATTTGGTTTTCTGTTATCGGAGTTTTATAAGAATTCGTACATTTTGTCAGGGTCAGGAGTTGTATCTCTCAAGGGTTTAACCGATCCAAAACATTAATAACATCACACTGTACAAAAACATGCCGTCCATTTCTTTGTTTGAAAGACTTCAGGGTGTTTATTCATAGTTTGTTTAACATAAAATATGAGTGTTTATTCACTGATGCTATCACTGCTTTAGTTTGTGTCACACAGAAGAGTTGCCACTTTGGAAAGCTTTTTTTAAGAAAACATATATATAAGGGAAAAAAATCCAGATTTTGTGATCACTGGGTTGTATTAAAATAACTACAGCAGCGGAGTCTGTAAAACCCTAAAAAAAGGACACAGCAAAGATGATGCTAACAAGACACTGGGGCTTTGGTGACTGTATTATTTGTACTGCATGAAATTAACACAAAAAAGGACAATCTATCAACACAAGTATCTGCCACAGCTGGAGAAACAAAGATGTTTTCTCACCCATAAACCTGAATCAGCCTCCAGAGATGAATAGGATTGTCTGTGGGTAAGACTGTAGTATCTGCTAAAGAATTTACAGTGTGAGGAGAATATAAAGCTCCTTTAGATGTAATTACCCCCCTAAAGAATTTCCCTTTTTTAAAGTGAGCCAACACTGACGTCAGAAGGAGATCACAGGGTACGACTCTGGATCTCTGGTTTCATGCTCTGGGAAAAAATGATCCACAGAAATAATGACAGGACTGTTTGGGGCTAGAGAAGCAGCATTAAAAAAAAAAAAAGATAAACTGCCTGACATTTTGCTTTGAGGCAACAAATCTAAGAAAGAATATTTCCAATGAAATGCTTAGCAAACAGAGTAAACGCACATGCAGGAACACTGATGCATAAATCTCAAGAGTGACTTTTGCTGTTAAATTACTATTGTGTCTGTAGTGTCAGCGTTTAGACCACATAAGCTGGAGCAGGAGGACTGATCATCTCTTTTTAAAATCAGTGTGACAGTCTATACATGTAAACCGACTTTTAAACCACACACTAAATGACAAACCTGAAATAAACAGACCAGTCTCTCCTTAAAAAGCACTAACATTATAGCTCACAGTTCGTCCCCTGAAAGACACTGCTGCACATCTTACCTTCAGTTTGGAGAAATGTTGCTGTCCAAGTTCATGTAGCACAAGTTGTTTCACTTCAGCACTGAAGGAGCTCTGTGTGCATGTGTGTGTGTGTGTGTGTGTATGTGTGTGTGTTGTGAGAAGGCACTTGTGCATGTGTGTTTTCTCCTTGGAAGGTGTTTCCCCATTCTCGTGACTCTACATCACTCTGACAGAGGACAGCAGATTGTATGAGGAGGAGGAGGAGAAGGGGAAGATAAAGGGGCAAGGCGTGAGAGTGGATGAGGAGTCTATTACAGTGCTACGAGTGTGATTAAGTGCCGTCAGCGCAGAGGAAGAGCAGAGGGCCCGGAGTTTCCTGAGCTGGATCTGGGTGGGGGCGGGGAGGTTCGGCTCTCTGA